AGAAGAGTTATGATATCTAGAGAGAAACACTCCAGTAGTTTGACACAGATTATTTCCTAGCTTTATCTACATCATATCCCTTAAGAGCGTCTCACCTCCTCCAGCTTAAAAACAGCTCCGATGTGTGGCTGGATGCGCCCTTGCTGGCAGTACTGAATTGCAGAGGACAGGCCCCTGGAGAACAAGGGAAAGTTCTGGTCCCAGTATCGGCTCAAGTACAGCCCCATAGCAGAGACATTCTTCAGAAGCAGAAGATTGGCTGGCACAGAAGCAATGGTTCCTCCGGCAAAACCCACCACCACAATCCTGCCTTCCCATGCCAGGCTGCGGACAAAAAGGAGAAAGAAAACCAATTATAAAAAGTAATGAACATTCACACCCATTAGGATGGATACTATTTTTAAAAAGAAAAAAAAACAGAAAATAAGTGTGGGCAAGGATTTAGAGAAATTGGAACCCTCATGGACTACTGCTTGGATTATAAAATGGTGCAACTGCTATAGAAACCAGTATGGAGGTTCCTCAAAAACTTAAAAATAGAACTACCATATGATACAGCAATGTCACGTCTATAACCAAAAGAACTGATAGCAGGGTCTTGAAGAGATATTTGCACACCCGTGTTTACAACAACACTATCTACAACAGTCAAGAAACAATCTAAATGTCCATCAACTGATGGATGGAGAAACAAAAAGGAAATCCTGTCCCATAAGAAGAAATGGATGAACCTTGAGAACATTATGCTAAGTGAAATAAGCCACTTACAAAAAGACAGATAATATATTATTCTACCTACATGAGGTATCTAAAGTAGTCAAATTCATAGAAACAGAGAGAATGGTGGAGGGGAGTGTATAGCTCAGTGGTAGAGTGTGTGCTTAGCATGCATGAGTTTCTGGGTTCAATCCCCAGTATCTCTGTTAAAATAAATAAGTAAATAAATAAATTTAATTACCTTCTTCCCAAAAACAAAAAAAATAATCAATAAAAATAAAATCTAAAAAGTAGAATGGTGGTTACCAAGGGCTAGGGAGAAGGGGGAAAAGGGATGTTGCTGCTTAGTGAGTACAGAATTTCAGATTTGCAAGACGAAAAAGTTATAGAGATCTGTTTCACAACAATGTAAATATATTTAACACTACTAACTGTACAAGCTAAAATGATCAACATAGAAAATCTTTCGTTATGTATTTTTACCACAATAAAAAGTGCAGAATGGGGAAAAAAAGCAATGTACATTAATTCAAAGACACAGAAAGAGACAGAAGGTAGAACAGAGGTTACCAGAGGGTGGGGGGGCAGTTTAATGAGTACAGAGTTTTTGTTGGGAATGGTTACACAACATTGCGAGCATGTTTAATTGTACACTTAAAAATGGTTAAAATTTTAAATATTAGGTTACATATATTTCACGTATTTTTTAACAAAAAAAGCAACATGCATTAAACCTCTAGGAGTGAATTCCTCTTGATGGTACAAACTGGCTGGGGTGAACCATTCTGCACCAGTTTGGACTCCTCAATAGGAAAATAAAACTAAGCTATAAAGAAGACAGTAGGGGCCAGAAGAGCTAGACCATTTTGTAAGGGGACCCATTTTAGAATTAAGGCTTTCTATTTAACTACTCAACTACTTTGCGAAAAGGAATCGGGTATAAGCAGATGTCATTCCATATGCTGAACTTCAAGACAACTCAGTTTGAAGGTTTTGAACTTAGGAAGCAGGAATAATTAGTCAGACGCTTTAATGAAGCATCATTTGCTTTGCATAAAGACTTACCTTAGGGCTCATACTTTTCGAGAGAATTTTGAATGATCTACAAAAATTCACACAAGTATTCTGCGCCCCATTACAAGAAGTACCATACAGCACACGCGAAGCAATGAATTATAAAAGCAAATTTTGTTAGCATCTTTTATATACGTGTATGTTTATTTTGTGTTTGCTTCTGCCTTTTCTTCTTCAGAGGGGAAATGAAAGGCTGCTGCCCAAACACTGTCATCCAGGCAAGAGAAGGGTGTGCACTCGCAGCTCTCTGTCCCAGCTCTGCATTTACGCAACACACTCCTTCCTTTGCATCCTCTCTAAGCACGGCGGCAGGCACAGTGCAGTGATACTCAGGGGCTACAGAACCAACTGGATCCCTTCTGTGGGCAAGCTGCTCTCTCTGCTTCTGTTTCTCCTAATTTTAAACTGAGATAAACCACAAAACTGGGCTTCCCAGGATGACACAAGAAATGAAGCTAATATTATCAGAGCACTCCAGAGTCCCTGTTTGAAAACAGAATGAGAATTGGTGTGGATACAACAGTCGCGTTAAGTCTCAAGTGACTTCTTTTTTAATTAAGCAAATCAAGGAGACACCTACACTGGTGGCTACTTCAGAAACCAGTAAGATCTGAAGAGTCTGTACCTTGGTGCACAGTGAACAGGGGGACTGCCACGCCCGTAATTGTAACATGTGGACAATGATCTCTAGAATTACCCACATCCTATATATTAAGTAGTTAGTGGGTGCCGGCGTGGCTGAATTTAACGCATGTATAATTTCTAAAGCATTTGGTATTGCCAACTAGAGAGTCTGCAGTCACTTTCTGGATATTTTCCAGTTGGATATTTTGTGTTTGCTATATTTAAGCATTTCCTGATTTCCCCTCTGCTTCTATTCCTTTTCACCCACCCACTCAGCTGTTCTCGATGATGCCAGTGCCTACAGGAAAAGTGAGCAGCAAAGACGAAAGAGAAGTGAGGCCAGAAGGAAGACAGAGGTCTGGAGAGGTTTCAGCAGAGCCCCAGGTCTAGCCCACTGGGAACGACCCCTGTGCGTACCTGCGGAGAGCTTCCAGGAAGAGATCTCCTCCCACAGTGTCGATGACCACGTTCACCCCGCCATTGCCCACCAGCTTCCTCACTGCCTCCTTCAGGCTGCCCTGACTGTAGTTCACGCTGGAGTGGGCACCCCGCTGCATCGCCAGCTGGCACTTCTCATCACTGCCCGCAGCAGCTATTACCTGCGCAAAGAACACAATGCTTCTGATGGTCCAGAATAGGTAACAAGAGGGGCTCACCCCACCCACCCAGCCTCCAATCAAAAGGCACTAATCAAGGAAGCCAATTCCCCGTCCCAGTATCAGCCTCAACCCAACACATCAGGTCCGTCACACAGCACCATCACACTGGCCCCTCCATGCCCCACTGGCAATGGGACTGACATCTCCAGGAATCCTGGAACTCCAATGGGTCTACGTAGGAGATGGTTCAGGAGACACAAAGTCCTCTCCAAATGCAAATTAAAACCCCTATTTATTGAGTACATACTATGAGTCAAGTGGTAAGGACACAAGCTAAATAGCAAGCTTAGAGTCAAGAAAGCAAGACCCAGCGGTATAGCAGGGGGAGCTCAGAGGGGTCCAGGAGCACGAGAGGTATCCACCTGTGATCTATTAGATCAGGAAAGGCTTCTCAGAGGGCAAAACATGACTCAATGGAAAGACCTTGAAGTCGGACAGACCTGAATTCAAATCCTGGCTCTGCTACTAACTGCTGTGGTACCCAAGGCAAATTACTCAGTAAGAACCAACACTTGGCACTTATATGTGCCAGACACTATTCTAAATGCTTTACATACATTAATAACTCACTTAATCTTTTTTTTTTGGCTTATAAATATCAAACATATATTTCTCACAGTTCTGGAAAGTTCCAGATCAAGGCACTGGCAGATTTGGTGTCCTGCTTCTTCGAAGGCTAAGCCCTCACATGCCAGAAGGTGCAAATAAGTTCCCTGGGGTCTCTTTTATAAGGGCAATAATTGCATTAATGAGGGCTTTGCCCTCATGAACTAATCACCGCCCAAAGGCCCCCACCTCCAGATACCATCACACTGGGGGCTAGGATTTAACAAATTTGAGGAGGACACAAACATTCAGTCTATAGCGTGGTATAACTTTAAGGACCCAGGGATTTGTCCTTTCCCTTACCCATATCTTCTTCTTCTTTTTTTTTTTTTAAATCAAAGTATAGTTACTGTACAACATTATATAAGTTACAGGTGCACAATATAGTGGTTCATGGCTTTTAAGGGTTATACTCCATTTGTAGTTATTAAAAAGTATCAGCTGTATTCCCTATGTTGTAATAACTCAATCATAATAACCCAATAATATACGCACTATTATTATCTCCAATTTCAAGATGAAGAAACTGGGGCAAAAGAAATTAAATTATCTGGCCCAAGATCACACAGCTAATAGGAGGCAGAACTGGGATCCAAACCCAGGTAATCTGTCTCTAGAATTCTTGCTTTGAACCTCTATACTTCCAGCCAACTTCTCTTAAGATTCAGTTACCTCATCCTTAAAAGAAGATGTGTTTTTTAAATTAAATGGAATATTGTATATAAAGCACTAGGAAAACAAAGTGTTACACACACTGTTACACATATGTAATCCTTTATTCTATTTAAACCACAGCACATCATGGGATGGTATACTTACTCGCCTCCTGTAGAGGGATACAGATCCAGAGAGGTTAAGTACTTAACCCAGGAGCATACAGGTAGGAGGTGGAAGAAAAGTTTCAAATCCAGTGCTGCCTGATTCCAAAGCCCATGTTTTTCCACTCCATCACCCTGGGACAGAGCCATGTCTGAGGCCTGCCAAAGATGGCAGAGACGGCTGTGGGCCACACTGTGAAGTGGCCTGGGGGCTGCAAGTCTCCAGAAAAGCTTCAAACACTCAACAATTTGCCTAGAGTTGCCCACCAGCCCAAGCACTTTAGCCCCAAGGTGATGTTCAGAACTTGCAGTCAAAAACCCAAGAACATCCGTGTCCCCAAAAGAATCTAAGCTCACTCATAACTATTTGCAACTACCATCAAACACTCCCCAGGGGAGCCCCCACACAGCTACATTTCGCTGAGGGCTGTCAGCACACAGAGCCTCTGAGGACACCCCAGACTAGGTCAGGCACCAGCCTCCAACCCAGGCTTCCCTGGGTCCCGGTCAGGCCTGCTGTGAACCATTTTCTCTCTTGATGCCTCACTTTCTTTGTCTGTGAAACAGGGGTAATAAACACTTCCATTACCCATCTCCCAGGGTAATGTGAGGGCCAAGGGTGAGGTGATTGCTGCAGAGGCGCTCTGTAAGCAGGACGAGATGCTGTGAATGGGACGTGTTCTCAAAATGACCTGTTCCAAGTAGGTGGCGTGATGACATTATTATTTTTTTTCCTTGTTTGCTTTTGCTTAAAACCATTACTGCTGCTAAAGAAAATACAGCTTGGATTAATTTTATTATCTGAATTGAAGTGAATTTTTCTCTCTGCCTAACTTCCCATAGCTATTTAAAACAAATGGCACGATTTTACCTTCCCAGAAATGTTAAATAGTCAATGGTTCTACACAATGAGACTAGTTTTGGTCTCCCCTGCTAAGAGAGGTGCTAAAAGCCCTTACTTTTGAGTTGAAATACATTAATATTTCACAAGGAGCCTCTTGCTTTCAGAACTCACAGGCCCTTCCCCAAAGAAAGTCAATGTGAGGAAGGAGTGATGCCACCTGAGGCAATTCCAGATCAGCCCAACTCCCACCAAATATGCACAGTGTCTCCGCGCCTCTGGATATCCCAGCTGGGACTCCACAGGAGCCTCACACTCGCCACGTCCAAAGCTGAACTCACCGTCTCCTCCTGGGTTCCCAGTCCCAACAAATGGCCAGTCCCCCAGTGAGCCTGGTCGGCGCCTTCCCCTCAATGTAGAATAATAACAGGGACCATTTTTAAAGGATCCTCCAGCACACGCCACGCCCTCCAGCAAGCACTGGATTCCCACAACCGCCCTATGAGAAGAGCATTGTTGTACAAACGAGGAAACTGAAATTATTAAGCTAGAGACAGAGCTGGAATCTGAACGTAGATAAGGCTAACTCCAACGTCCCTGTTCCTTCAGCTTCTCTTAGGATGCTATCCAGTCACCAAATTCTCTATTTTCTTCTACTTTGTCTCTCTCCACTCATCGCCTGCAGGGCCTGGGCTCAAGTGCCATCACCTCTGGCTTGGGTTGCTCCAAGAGTCTGCCCTACTGCGTCCAGATTGCTCTGGACCTTGCCCCATCCCTCATGCCCACTGCCACCAGAGGGAACTCTGCAAAACGCAAAGATGATCATGTCACTTCTCTACTTAAAACCCTCAGTAGCTCCTGATAGCTTCCGAGAAATGTTCAAATTCTGCAGTCCCTCATGATCTTGTCTCCGCCCACCACTCTGGAGTCACCCTCTACCACTCCCACCCCTCAACCCTGCGCCGTTGCTCCAGAGATGCTATTTGTAATTCCCTGAATGCATCAGGTTGGTACCCAGGTCTCTGTCTTCTACTATGTCCACCCATCACTGAATCACCCTTCCTGTCCCTTCTTCCTCTATTCAGCTGCGACCAGTCCTGCAAAGTCAGCTTAAATGTCTACCTTCTCTAAGAAATCCTCCTTCTCTGATGCCCACAGCCTCAAAGAGATGCCCCTGTAAAGGGCTGGGTTCTTCTTTTATGTATTCATTCACTCATTCAGGAAATACTTATTGAGTGCTTACTATGGTCGAGGTACCATGCTAGGTGCTAGGACTATAATAATGAACCGACCAGACACTATTCCTGCCTTCATGGGGGTTAAAGTGCAGGGTGAAGCAGACGTTGATCCAATAAGGACACAAGTAAAGGACTAACCACACACTATGAAAGAGAAGTACAGGATGCTCTGAGACCACATACAAACAGTCGGGGGCAGAGGGAACTTCTCCTGAAGGACAAAGAATACTTCCCTGAAAAGGCAAACATCTGACTTTGAATTTGAACTGCAGGGGAGAGAGCTGAGAGGGGAGGGAGAGGGAATAGGGTCTGCAGAAGCTGAGAAGTGAGTGGAACCTCGCTAAGTTCCTGGGAACCAGAAGGACCAGTGGTTTACTCCTCAGCCCCCTCCCTGGGCTGCAAGCAGACAGATGGCAAGCCCCTAGCCCAGGTTCCTTTATATCCCCAGTGCCTTGCACGTGATTTTTAACAAATAAATGAATATATATGCTGTGATTTTTAATAAATACTGTGATTTTTTTTCGTGCAAAAGCATCTTTTTACTTTTTTAACACCTTTATTGCAGTTTGGCTCCTGTACATTAAATGACACATATGTCAGATTGGACTGTGATATTTTTAAATGGAGAATCGAACACACAAGTACCTTGGCCTGAAGAATGTTTGTTGCCACGTCTATCACAGCAAGGCCTGTGGCTCCAGCTGCTGCTGTCACTAAGACGGTTTCTCTGTGCCCAAGAAAGAGGAGTGTTACCCAAGAAACCAAAAATTATCCAGCAACGTGATTCCATGAACAATTTTAAAGCAAAAAGAGAACTGACAGGCTCCTGCATTCAACCCCTCGTGTACATGGACACGTATACATCCACCCTCTGGCCTCCTGGGCTGGATTATGTATGTGGTTGCTAAATCAGTGCTGGTTTGGTCCAGTCTTGAAGTCTTCACAGGTAAAAGATCCCTTGATCCCTCTGCGTAGCCTCTTACTCATGCCAGTGGCAGCCTTCCTTGGGGCTACCCCTCCAATTTTTACTTTGCAAGTTCTGTCTTAAAATTGTTTTCACTAAACACAGGCAAATTTTAGAAGGTGATGATCATGTAACAGCCACAGCTCAACTACGCCCATCGCTCTGGAGCAATCCCGAGGCTCTATGAAAAGAGCAAGAAGCTGTACTCTATGCTCCAGGGAAAAGCGGGAAATTCAGCACCTGAATTTGAAATACCACAGGTAGGCACACCCGACCAAACCTCACAGGAGCAAACACCACAGGCCTCCATCAAAGCCGGACTGAAGTGAGTTTACATAAACCGACCCTCTAAAAGTTAGGGCTTTCTAGGAGGTGATCTCCAGAGGGGCCTGATTTGAGAGAGAGATTTCTTCAAATTCATATTGGCCAATTCACAGTCTACCATCCCTCTAAGACAAAAGGATATCCTCTCTGTCACCAGACTCCAGTCTTGGGTCACTACCTTCCTTTGGCCTTTCCTCAGACAGCCTGAACACAAGGTGAAGGTCAGGGGAGGGGAGGGGAAGGGCAAGGGCTGGTGGGCATTTCTGGTATCAGAGAAGGTACCACCCAGCCCTCTGTTGTCTGCACAGTCCTCACCCAGGCTGGGTCCGGGCCCGATGCTCCAAGGCCAGGATAGCAGTGCCGTAAGATACAGGTAGGGCCGCCGCTTCTCGAAGGGGGACACCTTCTGGAATCTGCCACAGTGCCTATTAAAGACATAACAGCGACTTAGGCATTAAGCATCTGTACCTGTTCATTAAGGCTGCCCAGTACCTATGATGATTTGATTTGCAAAGGGCAACACACGTCAGGAACCAAGCCCAGCGGAAGTCAAGGCCAAGCAAGCTGTGGCCAAGTTCAAGACCTGGGGGCAACCATCTTCAAAAATCCTAAGGCTGGTATCCGGATCAGGAAGGAACCAGCTTACGGAGGATGTAACACAGCCCACTGTACTACAACGAGTGAACTGAATGGGACAAAAATTTTACCTCAGATGAAGCTGTTGGGAGAAAGAGTGTACTGTTCACCACCAGGGGGCACTACTCACACCTCGCACAACCACATGCCCCCACCGCCCTGGCTGGCTCCCTTCCCAGGGCTCCCTCTTTCACAAGCTTGGTGTGGGGGAGAAACCCATTACACCCAGCTCAAAGCCCCCAAACCCGTTTTTCTACCAAAACTACCAAACTGTGGTCCAGTGGGACAGCCAGCCAGTTGCTCTGGGACTCGGAAAACAAAATGCCTTGCTTCACGAAACCACTCTACACAAACAAAGCTTTGTGCAAGGGCTATCTGACGGACAGAAAAAAAGGGATTGAGCATTTGAAAGAAAGAAGTGCTTGGCTGAGAAACAAGATAAAACCAAAAGAATACAAAGAGAGGGAAAGAAGAAGGAATGAAGGACAGATGGAAATTAAAGAAAAGAAAGAAGAAAAAAAAAATCTCAAAGCACTTATATTAAAGAGATAGGGCTACCTTGTGGTCAACAACGCATTCTTCAGCCATACCATTAAAGCCACTTATGCCAATAACTCGATCTCCCTGAAGGGAAAACACCAGCAATGTTCAAATGAATGGCCTTGCCACTTACCCCTTCCCGAATTAATCCAAAAAAGAAAGAAAATCCTCCTTTCTGACCTAGTAAGACACAGGTTTCCCTTAATTAACTATTCAGTGTTAATGTTTAGTAAATAATTTCAGCCATTTTCTCAATACCCCCACCCGGCTGCCAAGCCAATTTGAGCACATTTTGGACCAGGATAAGATGGGGTAAGGAAAAGGCTGATAAGAATTAGAATATTGGTATTAATTTCTTTCACAAGAAGCTGAAACTTGAGAATTCTCTATCTTCTCAGTAACTAAAAACCCAGGTGCTGCCTTTTATTAGTAATAAAACGTTTGACGAAGCCAGGAAGCTTCCACAGCCTACTTTCCCCCGATTCAGAATTAGTTTCTTCCCGCTCCACCTTGATTTCCCTTTGATGTCTGCTGGCAAAGGCCAGGAAAAGCAAGAACTCTGGCTACAAATGAGGTTAGCACATTTCTCATAGCTGGCCATACATCAATTCCCTAGATTTCAACTTATTCACCTCTTTCACCGTGCTGACATCCGTGCCTGTCTCCAATACCATCCCAGCAAACTCCACTCCTGCAACGAATTATTTAAAAACTAGGTTATCTGTAAAGCCCAGCACCAGGGAAATGAGAAGACCCTGATCAACAGACAATCCTATGAGTTTTCTGGAGCTGAGAGGGTCTGTGTTCCTCCCACCCAGGGGAGGGATGGAAGAGTGTTGTCCCTCAAGGCACAGGAAAGTGATCTAAGATTTCACAGTCACAATCTGAAAAGCTATGGCAGGCTCATTCTTACTGTGACACAAATGAAAATTCCAAGAGCTGGCAAAAGCATAGAGAATCACAGATATACAAGTGCTTTTGACCTTGACCACTGGGGCCTTGGGCTCCTACCTCACCTCAATGACAGCATTCATTGTATTATATTTATTTGTTTCCATGTCTCCTCTTCTGAGGCCCTCAAGGACATGAACTACATTTATTCACATGACACTTGGCTCAGTTAGATGAACTGGTGTTGTCTGCCCTTTGCTCTTCCACTTCCAAAATTTCTTAATTTAATGACCATATATTTTCCACTTGAGCTGCCGGAAGAGTAAGTCCGTTGAGTATGACACCACCTTCCCCCCATCCAGCATTACAGCAAATACAAACTGAGGGAAGTGGCTCCCAGTGCTGAGTCATAACCAAATACCCTAAGGCCAAAACACAGCAACTGTTCTGCAACCACTGTGCCCTACACAGTGTATATCTGTATAAAATATACATGTACTGTATACGTGTTAAACTATACTTACTTCTCTTTTAATAAATGTCAACAACAAAAATCAGTCATTGGTCCACAGATTCAGGAACTAAATGTAAT